GTTTATAGCCGGGAGAAGGTAAATCGCCGGCCTCCCATGATTTCTAGTAATGATGATCCTTTCTGCATGCAGCATGCAATTGTCAAGTCGAGCAGTTGCCGAGGCGGCATGGGGAAATGGAGTCGCCCACGTCCAATCAATCACCATGCGTCATCAAGGCTGCATGCGGTTAGGGCCCGCGGCGCTCCACACTTGCCCTTTGGCTTCGCCTGGAAGCCAAGTCCGAGCGCGCCTTGGGCCCGGGGGCTACTGTAGGCGTCCCGGACTTGGGGGTATCCAGTCATGCCTGCCTGTGGCCCACCACGTGGCTCCATCGATGGCCTGGTACAGCCCAGCTTCAACACCAACACATCAAGACCCTCGCGAGGCGGATGACGCGAAGACCCCTGAAGGAGTTGGCCTCCTCAGGAGGCCTCCTGAGGGGCGGAGAGATCTATGCAGCTACCTCATGAGGCTCAGCTGACGTGAGCCATGACGACCAAGGCCAGGCGGGTGCCAGGCGGGTGCAGAGTGCAGTTTCCTCTTTGGTGCAAGGGAGGCAAGCCACAGGTGCGGAGTCCCGAGGAATCAGCTAAAGGTTTCCATTCGGGTGCAACAAGACCAAGACCGCCAGGACGGCAGGACGGAGGTCAACACCGAGCCCACCGCGGCGTCACAACCAGAGGCTTTCACAGACGAAGACTACTTTTGTCAGGACAGACTATACTACTTGTCCCCTTTCAAATCCCTCCGTTGTGGAATCCTCCCCGCTCATATTTGGGAAGAGGACCAAGGCCACTATGTATAGGAGTTAGCCACCACCATAGTGGAGGGAGATCACTTTCCACCCCGAGCACCACACCAGCTCAAGAACACCTCACCTCCTGAGGCTTGTTCATCCTTGTAACTAGTTCATCCATAGCCCCTCGAGGCAGTCCACCACACCACACTGGATTAGGGTATTACACCACAACGGTGGCCCGAACCAGTATAAATATCGGTGTCTTTGTGTCTCTGTGAGCTCTTCGCGCTAGGCTAGGGAGGATCGCAATTAGGCAGGCTGGGCAGGTTAAGATCTCTGCACACACCCCAGAGTTCGAACCTCTCAAGGGTTGCCGGATCCCGAAATCCGACAGATGTGTTTGTCAACATGGTAGTAGCCACGCATTGCCAGAGTTGGCTGGTGGCCCATTCCCAAGACCCTGCGCTAAAGAGCGTCAAACAGAAGCTCCCGTCTATCATCGCCCAGAGAAGTACATGGACCCATATTAGACCTTATTAATAAAATTATAAAACTCGGAATCACGGCCGCCACATTAGCTCGTGATTCTGCGTTGTGCGCATCTCATTGAAGTATATGGGCTGTATTCTGTGTATAGTTAGCTTTTTCGTTTTATAAATATGAGTTGTCCCCATCGCCCAGCCCACCATAGCAGGTCGGTAAGAGACATAAATGGCACGGGTTAAGGTGTCCATGGGCAAGAAAGATGCTGGACAGGGGTTTGTTCATTCTTGACTAATCTATGTCTATCTAATTTGTTAGTGCATACTTAACATGATGTCAATTGCATAAACCTTCAATCTTATGAATATTAACGTAATCAACGGAATAGATCTTCTGGGCACAATTTTCTAGTGTTCTGCCCATGATTTTGAGTAATTTATAGGATTTTTTTTACTAAAGCAACTAGGGCTGTTATATATTCTCCACATGAAGACATTCTTATCTGCTGGTTTGGCAATCGAAAAGTGCACTTCATTTCAGAGTCCTCCATGATTCAAATGATAACACCACAAATTGACCCCAAAACATCAAAATGGGCACATAATGAAATTTCAAAATTAATATGAAACTTCTTTACACGATTAAGCACCGCATCATCACACATTGCCCCAAACAAATTATCTGGCCATTCATGAAATGAAGGACAACCAAAGATCCGTATACACAGGCAAACTTAGAATAAAAAACAATGTTCAATCACTGCACAGAAAAAGAAAAGAAAATGAATTTCAAAGGAAAACATATATTGAAGAAAATGAAAAACTAGAAATGATGAAAAAAATTGAGAAAAATAAACAAAGAGAAAGAAGCATTCCTAGTGTTTTGAGCCACCGGAAAAAAGTTCAGTGTTTCCACCATCATACTTAATCATCCTTCTTTTAGGCAATAATGCTACAGTTATACACGAATATTTATAGACAGGAATTATGGGCTGATGTGCAATGATAGGGTTGGCCGGTTGAAAATCACGAAGGACACATCAAGAAAAATCAAGGAGGAGTTAGGATTACCAGAGAGAGCCCCCGTAAACCATCATCCATAAACATTTTGCCCGTTGGTGTAGCATTTTTTTTCCTTTATGGGGCTGTATCTTTCTTAGTCAATTTCGGGAACATATTTAATTATTTTTTTTGGAGCCGTAGTTTTCTTTTCTTGAGAATATAAAGCCGTTGTTACTTGTTGTGCATAGTATGGTACATGTATTACATGGGCCCATACCAAGAAATAGGTGGGCAACAGTTGACAGCCAACCATCCACCTGGGCCACTTCAAAACCAAAGCAATATTCGCACAATTTGTTCACGTGATGAGCCTGGGCCAGCCACATACAACGACACTGTTGAAACTCGATGTATTCAACTCCGTATTGTTTGCTAATTAAATTTGGCCCAGATCCACATGCTCCACCGAACGATGGGATACCGAGCGCCATGTCGCTTGTGACCCAAAATGCCGTACTTGTGTAAGAAGGGAAATCCTCTTTGGTGCCCGAGCACCATGTAGCTCGGAATCACGGCCGCCACATTGGCTCATGATTCTGTGCTGTGCGCATCTCATCGAAGTATATGGGTTGTATTCTGTGTATAGTCAGCTTTTTTCGTTTTATAAATACGAGCTGTCCCCATCGCCCAGCCCACCATAGCAGGTCGGTAAGAGACATAAATGGCACGGGTTGAGGTGTTCATGGGCAAGAAAGATGCTGGACAGGGGTTTGTTCATTCTTGACTAATCTATGTCTATCTAATTTGTTAGTGCGTACTTAACATGATGTCAACTGCATAAACCTTCAATCTTATGAATATTAATGTAATCAACGGAATAGATCTTATGGGCACAATTTTCTAGTGTTCTGCCCATGATTTTGAGTAATTGATAGGATTTTTTTTACTAAAGCAACTAGGCCTGTTATATATTCTCCACATGAAGACATTCTTATTTGTCGGTTTGGCAATCAAAAAGTGCACTTCATTTCAGAGTCCTCCATGATTCAAATGATAACACCACAAATTGACCCCAATACATCAAAATGGGCACATAATAAAATTTCAAAATTAATATGAAACTTCTTTACACGATTAAGCACCGCATCATCACACATTGCCCCAAACAAATTATCTGGCCATTCATGAAATGAAGGACAACCAAAGGTCCGTATACACAGGCAAAGTTAGAATAAAAAACAATGTTCAATCACTGCACAAAAAAAGAAAAGAAAATGAATTTCAAAGGAAAACATATATTAAAGAAAATGAAAAACTAGAAATGATGAAAAAAAATTGAGAAAAATAAACAAAGAGAAAGAAGCCTTCCTAGTGTTTTGAGCCACCGGAAAAAGGTTCAGTGTTTCCACCATCATACTTAATCATCCTTCTTTTAGGCAATAATGCTACAGTTATACACGAATATTTAGACAGGAATTATGGGCTGATGTGAAATGATGGGGTTGGCCAGTAATATCACGAAGGACACATCAAGAAAAATCAGGGAGGAGTTAGGATTACCAGAGAGAGCGCCCCGTAAACCATCATCCATAAACATTTTGCCCGTTGGTGTAGCATTTTTTTCCTTTATGGGGCTGTATCTTTCTTAGTCAATTTCGGGAACATACTTAATTATCTCTTTTTGGAGCCGTAGTTTTCTTTTCTTGAGAATATAAAGCCGTTGTTACTTGTTGTGCACGGTATGGTACATATATTACATGGGCCCATACCAAGAAATAGGTGGGCAACAGTTGACTGCCAACCATCCACCTAGGCCACTTCAAAACCAAAGCAATATTCGCACAATCTGTTCACGCGATGAGCCTGGGCCAGCCGCATACAACGACACTGTTGAAACTCGATGTATTCAACTCCGTATTGTTTGCTAATTAAATTTGGCCCAGATCCCCATGCTCCACCGAATGATTGGGATACCAAGCGCGTCGCTCGTGACCCAAAACGCCGTACTCGTGTAAGAACGTGATGAGCCTAGGCCAGCCGCATACAACGACACTGTTGAAACTCGATGTATTCAACTCCGTATTGTTTGCTAATTAAATTTGGCCCAGATCCCCATGCTCCACCGAACGATTGGGATACCGAGCGCGTCGCTCGTGACCCAAAACGTCGTACTCGTGTAAAGAAACCTTACCCTAAGAAAGCTAATCAATTTTAGGCGAAGGTGATCTAGTTTTACCAGATGGATGGTGATGTGGGGAAATAGATATTTCAAGGACCATGTGGGTGTGATGATGATGATGATTACTCCCTCCTTTCCTAAATATTTGTCTTTTTAGAGATTTCAAATGGACTACCACATATAGATGTATATAGACATATTTTAGAGTGTAAATTCATTCACTTTGCTCCGTATTTAGTCCCTTGTTGAAATTCTAGAAAGACAAATATTTAGGAATGGAGGGAGTATTTGTTTACACAGTCAGCAACGAGCCAGAGTAGTGGAGGCAAACAAAGAAAGCGGCCAGGGCCAGGGGGTCCCGTCCGTGCAATGATGCGCACACACTACCGGTGGAGTGGAGTAAAAGAGCAGCCCACATTGCAGCTTTGCCCCCGCCACGCATAAACCTCCACAGCTGACACCGAAAGCACTGGATCTGGGAAGAATGGCTCCAAGATTGCTCGTCGTTCTTCCAGTGGTGCTACTTGGTTTGGCCTTCCAGGCCATTCTCCGGCCACCACATACAAAGGCTCGGCGGGTGGACCTCCTGTGACATCTCCCAGGATCAAGCTCAGGGATGGGAGGTACCTCGCATACCGGGAAGACGGTGTGCAGAGGGACAAGGCCAAGTACAAGATCATCACAGTGCATGCATTTGATAGCACCAAGGACTTCCCCTCACCTGTTTCCAAGGTACAAGCACAGAGCACAATTATAATCAGATTGAAATTTATACAAGTGAGACATTGGTTTATCTCTCGATATTTTCCCTAAAGATTGATTTCTGTTTTCGCCATTATCAGGAGCTCGTGGAAGAACTGGAAATTTACCTACTTGCATTTGATAGAGCAGGGTACGGGGAAAGTGACCCAAACCCCGGTCGGAGTGTCAAAAGTGAAGCCTTGGATATAGAGGAGCTCGCCGACCAGCTGGAGCTTGGACAGAAGTTCCATGTCTTGGGTGTCTCCATGGGAGGATACACAGTTTGGGGTTGCCTCCAGTATATACCTCACAGGCAAAGGAAAAAACTCCAGCCATATGTATCTTCATGAAATATGAAACTCTTCAGAGTTGTAAAAGCTACAATATGCTATCGATGCAGGCTCGCAGGAGCCGCGCTAGTAGTACCAGTTATCAATTACTGGTGGCCTTCGTTCCCGCCAGAGGTGTCCAGGCAGGCTTTCAAGAAGCTCATTGTACCAGAGCAGAGGACCCTCTGGATCGCACACAATGCGCCTTACTTTTTATACTTGTGGATGACCCAGAAATGGCTCCCTTCTTCTGCGACAGCCATGCATCATCCTGAAATATTTAGCGACCATGATATGGAGGTGATTCAGAAAATGATGGCAATGTCGAGAACCATTGAGGTAAATCAAATCACAATTATGCCTTGGTTATAAATATCACAAATACTTCAACCACGTGAAATTCTGCTTATGGAACACTTGAAATACAGATATACAAGTGCAACACTAGACTCCTTTCTGCGATGAACACTAAAATCCTAGGAGTTGCTGTTTCCTTGCTATGCCCACCGTAGAGAACAATAATAGTATATAATATAAATGTAATTCAGGAAATATACACTAACTACCCCTTGTTCAGATTTGTTGATAATGCTAATTTGGCCTTCCTTTTCTAGAATAAATCAAGGCAGCAAGGAATTTATGAATCAATCCATCGAGATTTACTTGTTGCTTTTGGGAATTGGGAGTTCGATCCAATGAATATTACAAATCCATTTCCTACAAATGAGGGTTCTGTACACATCTGGCAAGGATATGAAGATAGGTTGGTGCTGGTTGAGCTGCAGCGGTACCTTTCAAAGAAGCTTCCATGGATCCAGTATCATGAAGTCCAAGAAGGTGGACATATGTTCATGCTGGTGGACGGATGGACCGATAAAATTATCAAGGCACTCTTGGTAGGAGAAGAGGCATCACCTATGTGACTAAAGATTCATCTTCGAGCTGCTGCTGGGC